TTTTTCAGAAAGTTTTGAGTATTTTATCTTAATGTCTTTCAGGTTATTACTGTGAGAGGAGCAGTCATTCTGGTGAGATATTAAACTTTATTGCTTCTATGGTTGTCTTTAGGATACCACAGTATTCCAATTCCTCTAGTTCTAGGCTGTGGTTCCTGTGTCCCAGGTAGGAGTTGAGGTGTTGGAGAATTTTGTTCAGTGTTAGTGCCTCAACTTCAGTTTGAGTCTCTACTCACCTCCCACAGAGAAGGTTCTCTTCTCATGCCCTTACCTCCTCTCATCAAGAGTCTTCTGTCACTTATTCCCACCTGCTAAGTTCATGGTGAAGGGCAAGTGGGTATTGGAGATGGTTCTTTGTTGTCCAAGACCAGTTTCAGCTGAGGAAATCCCTGTGTAACTAGCCTCTGGAGATTTTCTTAGTGTCTGCACCCTCCTCCCTTGACAGCCAAACTCTGCTTGCAACGTGGTGGATCTTGGATGGGAGACTCTGACTGTGCCCCAATGATTAATGACCTTTATTTAGTATAGTCATAGGATGTTAGACCCAAGATGAATTCCTGCCTCTCCCTCTGTGTACAGAAAGTTTTCTTCTACTTTTTCTCTAGTTACAGTACCCATCTGTATTCATATGTGCCCTGGGAATAAAAGGGTTTCAGGCTTTGCTTCATAAAAGTGTAGGTCCAAGGGCACCAGCAGTTAACATAATGGCTATGTCGCTGGACTCCCATGTAGTTGACCGCAGTTGGAGTCCCGGATCCAGTAGCTTAAAACTCACACCGGGCACATGTGCACGCATGCCCAAGATCCTGAGAGGAGAATGGAGGAGAAGGAATTGCGGCGAGGCCATTTCCCGTAGGGGGTGATTTCTCACTTTCTGTCTCTCTCTCTCTGTCTGTCTGGCAAGCACATGCGCCCTATAGCAAAAACCTCTCCAAATAAATAAATAAATAATAAAAGTAAAAATCCAAGGAAAGAGCAGAGCTCTTCACCCTCACGTGTACACGCTCACGGGCACACACACACACACACACACACACACACGCACTTCTATGATGACCAGTATCTCTTCCTCCTATGCTCTGCAACAGGTGACACATTTTGTGTCAGACTTTCCAGGTTCTCCCTGGAGAAAACGTGTCGCTCTGAACTGAGGTCGTTTCAATGCCTTGGAACCTTAGCTCTTTGATGAGCTCTAGAAAAGTTATTCTTTGGTTTTTCATTTTATTCTTGTTGCTAGTATAAAGATGACATCTACATCTTTCTGTAACATAAACAAAAGCAGAAATTTCCAATAGCCTTTCATAAATAAAACCCACTCATGATCCAGAATGCTATTTTCATCATAGCTCCATTTCGTCCAGTGAGTTACAACCCTAGTTATCTATGGAATCTAATCTAAGTTGATATCAAATGAATCCCACTTGAAGGACTAATGACTTTAATTTCATAGAGTAGCACGTGATGTCCTGTCATTGGATCACTTAATTTATATCACTTCACAGTATGAACAAAGCAAATAACCCTCCTGAATTTAAAGAACCCATTTCTAAGAGACAAAATTATATTTTCTCATCTAAAATTATACAGTATATCCCATTCAGGCTCTCTCTCTATCTCTCTCTCCTCTTTCTCTATATTTAGCCAGCTATAAGCTTTACCCTTTGTAACTCACTTGTTTTTTACTCCTTCTGTAATTTCCATAATGTTGGTAGGTACTTTGTGTCCTGGACAAAGTTATGTTGAATAGAAAAGTACTTTGAAATATTGTAGCAAGACCTACCCTATAGCTTAACAGTTAACCGTCCACTGTGTACCGCCCACTTCCCTCCCTTGAAGATCTACAATTATCCTCTCTACTATCAGATCTTTGCATTTCTGCCAGATGGCAGACATTTGGCATATATTGAATGGGGATATATAGAGTGTATCTTTCAAAGTCTGGCTCACATCACTTCACCTTAGCTTTTCTTTATTCATCCACTTTGAATCAAACAATAGTGTTTCATTGTTTCTTATAACTGAATTATATTCCATAGTATATATGTGCCACAGTTTTTCAATATAGTCATCAGTTTCTCGACACTTAGGTGTCTTTTAAGAGCCTTTTTAGCAGTAGGATTTGGAGTAAATAAAGATAACCAAGGAAGTAAAAGACAAAATGTATTACTTCGGGGGACCTTTTTTATTCTCTGCTCTGTAAACTCTAATGTCTAAATTTCAGCCAAGATCTCTTAGATCATGTCTAGAAATTTCATGATTATATATATTTTTTGTTACATGAGTCTACTTTTAATGATTAGATTACAGCTTTCTTCTAATTGTGTGTGTATGTGTGTTTTGTTTTGTATTATTTTGTTTTGTTTTCAAAGGCAAGTCTCACAGTCTTGCAGTGCTATGGTCTTCCTGCCTCACCGTCCTAAAGGGATGAGAGGTAGTCACAACACCTGACTCTTTTTTTTTTAAAGTTTATTTATTTATTTATTTCTTCCTCACCAACCTGGATCATGGGCACATGTGCATTTTCCTGGTGTGCACAGGGAGGTCCCAAGATCCCAGGATGTGAACCCAGGACCTCCTCATGTGAACCCAATTATATTACTGCACTTTAGCTCTTTTTTAGACAGGGTCTTGCTATGTTGCCCAGGACAGCCTCAAATTCATGACCCTCCTGCTTCAGCCTCCCACATAGCTCAGATTACAGAGCAAGCCACCATGCCTCATTTTTATGTTGGAATGACAATTGAACCTGGGTGTCCCATTTGATCCCAGCCTGTGGACATAGCATCTTCCTGTGGACACCCTGTTCTAGCAGAATATGCCACCATGGCTTGTCCTGGATTTTTCATATGCTAATGGAAGTAAGAGTTGGAACTATTTATACGCCAGTAAAGGGTTAAAGGAGAGTGGAAGAAGAGTAAAAGATACTGGGAATATCTTTCTTATCCGAAGCCTGGAACTCCCATTTCTTAGCCCAATACAGGTGAAGTGAGAAATAGAAGGTAGCAACTTTATTGTCACCTAGATCTTTCAACCAAGTGTCTGGGATGGAGAACACTGAGGTCTCCTAGGGGCTTTACTGTAAATAAATAATGGCAATGTTTATAGATTTCAAGACAGATCTAAGGAACACTAAATGACACTATTCAAATTATTTCAAGAATGGGTTTTGGGTGAATAATAGATTTTGAGGATGAATAATGTGTTAGGGAAACTTAAAAAGGACAGCATGCTTGGGCTTTGACCTGAAGCTTGAAATACTATAAGGTACAGATTGGTCCAAACTGGAATTTTTGAGCACAGCCCTGAAGATCTGATACAGGATCTGTAGGAAAGCATCCATATAAGGACAAGGTCATTCATACCTAGGACACAGAGGGTAGTAAGAAATGATCACTCAGCAGTAGTTTTTTTAAGGCTTTAGAAATCTATGCAAATATCCGAATTTTCTAAAGTTCTGAGTTTCTGTCTTCTCATGGTTCTATATACTAAAAATATTTTGTCAGGTCTATTTTAGAGAGTATCTTGACTCTATCCATCAGATACTTTCCTAATATAATTTTGATTTAACTTTTTTGCCTTTGAAAGTTGCAATATTTTGTCTATCAAAATAACAATTTTTCTATTAATATTTATAAGCGCTTTCTACATTGGTCTATGACTGTGCTATATTTAGACAAGCCTTCCTACTCTTTTTAAATTATATAAATATTTAATTTTGTTGTCTCCTATTGCATTTATGATTTTTTGTTTTATATTTTCTTTACATTTATAAATTTTTAGAGATTAAAATATTTAAACTATTTCATGTTAATTTTGAGGTATGAAGTTAGGAAAGTTAATAAATCATCCTAACTCTGTTAAATTATCCTGACCCTTTCCCCATTTATTTGAAAAGTCATCCAACTTATGTGTCAAATTCTTATATATCCTGTATTCCCTGATCTTACTTCACCACTATCTGCTTTATAGATATTTTTCTCTTTTATAGGGAAAGTTCCCTTGCAAAAATTCCCTTATCCAATTTTTCACCAAATTTTCTTGTTGGTTTTCACATGCATATTATTTTAGATGATCCTTGTTAATATTTTTAAATATGTGTTTTTAAAAAGCCATCAGACATTAAGTACTTAGGTGAAGCTAGCTATATTATAGCAAAATTGTCTTTAAAAATCAAAAGGAAATAAATTTTCTTTGCATCTCTGAAGGACTTTAGCTGGCTTATGACTTATTAATCCGTTTATTATTTTATAAATATGGTTTAGCTCAAGTCAGAAATACACGAAAATGTGCTCTAAAATGACCTTAAATATTTCTGCCCAAATTAAACAATTTACTTTCTTATGATCACCAAAATATTTCATAATTTGTCTTGATAGGTGATTTGGTGTAACTGTGGTCAACCACATGGAAGTTCAGCACCCTAACTACCATGCCACCTGCCAGCCCCACCTTCAATAACTTTATGCTCATGTATTCTTTCATCACATCCACAAGGAAAACCTTCTTGGTAGATTAAAGTGATAGCCATTGTACCGTTATGAGAAATACAAACAATGTCACCATAGAGATCTTCATGTTACTTCATCTTATTAGAGCTAGTTTCCACAACTCATCATATAACCCACTGAGGTCCAGTATTTAGCATGAATGAATGTGTCACTACTTTTCCCTCAGAATGTGCAGGAAGGTATAAGAAAATAGTGAATGGAAATTGGAGGATTTGAATACTCTAAATTCATTTACTTCTAGTTTTGTCTGATACTAAAATTGATGCAATTTTGCTTAAATTCCACAATTACCTGTATCGGTTGCAACACATAAATTTTATATTGGCATTTTTATACTTTACCTAAGAGGAGGTATTTTCTTTTTCATCTTTTGATGGGAATTTAAGATATTCAAGTTTTCCTGGAGCAAGCATCATGAATGAACTATGAGCTAAAATGTAAGCGTTCTTCCATCTCGGAATGTGGAATCATTGTTTTTCTTTTCCTTTGCAGTTTCTTCTTTGTGGCATATGTGGAATATTGTGCGCCAAAAAAAAATCGGGACTTGTCGTAAGTTTTTGCCTTGTTTATCTTGTGCATTAGAGTGTTTAAAATGTAAGAGTTCAAAAACAGAAATGGTGACTAGCCAACTTTCATATGCTGAATGTTACTAATTTAGGATAAAAGGAAGACTGACAAACAAAACCTAGCTTTGCTTGTTTCAAAGAAAACCAGCAAGATTATTGGAGACTGTGACAAAACACCAACAGAGAGAGCTTTGATATACTCTTTAAATACATGAACATACAGCCTTTAGGGACTGCTTTGGATGACAGTCTCCGGTTTTCCAGTTTAGAGACTCTCAGGCAATCACCTAAATCCTTCAATAAGCTAAAGGATGAAACTTGAATCCATGGAAATTTAACTGGTTAAATATGGAAGTGGGCCTAAGGATTACTGGCTCGCTTTGTGAAATTGATTTTGCAAATCAGCAAGACAGCTGTGTTGCTATGGTCACAGTTAATTCTTAAAGATTCATTTTATTTTATTTTACTTTATTGCTGTGAATACACATGTAAGTGTTTTCAGATGTTTTAGGGTACTATTGTGGGATTCTGGGATAGGGACCATACTCCCAATTAACTCTGCTCTTGGCTCGGGAAGCTCCACGTGTGAAGTGGGCTTCCCACTGACCCTCATAATAGCTTATGAGAGTTTGGAAAAAAGGGAAAAGCATGATTTATTTTATTGAGTACTATAGGAACTATCATGGACCTTTACAAGCCGCAATGTTAGTATTACACAAACACCCCAGCAAGTTGCCTTTGAGCCTAAAACGTTTTCCAAGGGAAAACCAGTTACCTGAACAGGGCAGGGCATGGAAAGAATTGCAGTTATTTTCATTTTGCTGCTTTTCCTAAGCATTTCTGTCTCTGTGAGAATATCATTTGCAACAATCAAATCAAGCCCCTACTACTTTAGACAAGTAAGATGTAATTTTAAAAACTAACATAAAGGGAGATATAAAATATCTGGGGGAGGGACCAGCAGTTGGTGTAATGGCTATGTCGCCGAGCTCCCATGTAGCCAACCGTAGTTCGAGGCCCGGACCTGGTGGGTTAAACT